GAGGAAGGCAAAAAATTCCCAAGATCGACCATCTCCATTTGATGTACAAAACATGGAGAGACAAAGGTTAAACAACTTGCTGCAATCACACATGGAGACAGGAGCGCGGCCAGAAATTGAATCCAGACCTCTAAAATTACAGTCCAGTGTTTTAATCACAAAATCCTTCTTCTTCCTTGATTAAAACAGGAAACCAGAACACAAAGTATGCGCTTATTCTGTAACTTCAACATGTTACCACAAATATCTTAGAAAAATATATATACTTCAAATACGGTCATCTCAGCCAAGTGTATATTTTGATGAAACAAAAGGCGTGCATGTCGTTCTGGAGGAGGCCCATCATTGAACACCTGGTCCTCATGGGTCTGAATAAACACTGTAACTTCTGAGTTGAGACAACCTTGTCTTGGTTACAAAAACATCTGTTTATGTGAATTTTAAGGTAATCTTGTATATTTAAAAGATTGAAAATGTTGCTATCAGTGACTGAACTGCAGTGAGACCAAAAAGTATTTGCTATGCCACCCGAGGAAAGGAGGAAGATATGAGTAATGTTGCTGTGTGATGGTAAAGAAAGTAGTATTCTTTTTTAATATGATGCTGGGTACCTTTGGTTTGCCAGACAGATCCAGTTTACAAAACTATTTGCCCCCACAGCTACTGTGTTTTAGCGGGAAGACCCCAGCCAGGGGCAAGGAGGTGGCCTCAGGGTGAAGTGCTCTGATAACCCACTCCTCTCTACCCTCTTTCCCAAGGCCCCATGTTCCCTTTTGCACCTTATAATTACATGGAGATTTGTCACACGATGAAAACATACTTGCCCCCATAATAAAGCTGTATGAGTGCCCGTCACACCATGCAGAAGGTCCCCTTAGGGGTCACAGAAGACGTGCTTTGGCTATATGATAAAAGCCATGGGATATGCAGACCCATAGAGAATAAATTGCCCACCCCAGGCTCAGGGTTCCTCACCCGAGTTTTAACTCAGATATGTCACTGGTTTTCAAAGACATTCTGTTTTCCATTGTTTGAAAGAACCGTTTTTTTCACAACTACAATTCCTTCATCACTTTTCTTCAATGTATTGAATCTTATATTTTTTACTGTTGTCCCAAACTACCTGAAGAAAATAAGGCAGGAGAGCATGCAAATTTATTCTGAATGACTAATACCTCAAAAATTCCTCCCCAAAGTAATGACAATTTCTGCTTGATGACAGTGTTTCTTCCCACCTATTTCTACTTCTAAGGGTCCAGCATACAGGCATCAGTGACTGCAAACTCAGAACTGATCTTAGTCAGAGGCTGATAAAACAGGGACATCTCAAAGTTTCTTAGAAAACCCAGTTCCCCTACGCATGGCTCTGGTGGGAGACATTCACCTCCTGGCATCCTAGGCAGACTGCAGAAAGGTCATGCGGGGAAATGGGCAGCACTGGCAACAGAGTCAGCTCTGTTAACCCACACTTGGCAAGGGCTGAGTTTATAGCTGCTTCTTTCTGTACTCTGTTGTGCCTTCCTCACTTCTGCTAAAGCTTCATCAGATTTTCCAGAAGCCCGTAGAGCCAACGAACTGGCAGATACCTTCCATCCCAAGTTCACTTAGAAGTGGCACAACTACAGTCACAGCCTTAATGAGAAATCTAAAGAGCTTCAAAACAGGAGTTTGCCCAATGGGTAAAATTCAATCTAACTGTTGAATTAAAGAGAAAAATACATTAGACTAGAGAACATGTAGTCTTTTAGAATGACGTTATCTTGTAAGAGCAACACCTCTAGAAGGGAAGGCAACTGTTTCTGCCCTCCTACTCTTAGACTCCAAGAGATTAACATCCATTGCTTAATTTTAAATCATGCTAAAAAAGCATTCTCCGGTATTTGCTACCCATTTATTTTACTTCCACGTACTCGTACCTTTCTGAACAGACAGGATGTCTCTCTTTAGAAGGGCAAAAGCTAATAGTGCTAATGATACAAAAGGTAATAGCATTATGCAGTGAGAGAAAGGATTCAACCTGCTGGCTTGTCCTCTAGTAGAACAGTCCTCTATAGCACAGTCCTTTGGACAGCAAAGGCTGGTCAGAGACTAGATTTCTGACTGTGTTTTGTTTTTATTTCCTTTGTAAATTAATTTATACTAGCTATTAATGCTTTCAATAATTTTAATACTTTTGAAAAATAAAGCAATTTGGATAGATTGTATTTTTCCATTTCTACAGAAAAATCCCTAGAAATTTTTACAGATACGGACCTTCACAGAAAATAAAGACCTCTCCACCCTCTCAAAAAAATCCACACCAGTTTAAGACTATATATTTGGTGGAAAATTTTTACTTCTAGATTTTTATGGTAACGTCTCAACTTCACTACCTGAAGGTCAGGGCCCTTTTTTGCACTCGCAAGTCTGACTGCATAATGCACATTTGATCTCTGGCAATCTTTAATTGTAGTTAATTTCTAGAAATCCACAGCAGAACACATGGACTGCATAAAAATACCTTACTAGATGGTATCTACATAGGTAATGTTTTTTATCCCTTAATAATTCATTAGGTATAGTTTTAAACCAAGTTACAATGGTTTTAGGTTTCAGCACTTCCACTGAAGCGTGTCTTTTTGGAAGCGTTAATGCCAGGAGAAACAGCTCTCGGGTGGCTCAACACGAGACTGTGCTATGCAGCCAGCAAACAGAAAGAGTCCTTTGTTCCATGTGGGCTCCTTCCAAGCAGTTAGGTATTTCTTTTTCCTTTTTCTCCTTTCCTCTTTTCTGCCTTATGAACTGACCTGCACGATCTTATACAAAATATTCAGTAAAAAAACCACAATCAGTTTCTGAAAAGAAAAAATAATACTGCCAAATTATGGCATTTTACTTGAAGGACTAGGTAGGAGGCATGGAGCAGAGGAACATGGAAACAACTGTGAGGCATAAGAAGAGAAAAAAAAGACAGACAGTAAAAAAAAGGAAGGATAGGAACTTTGGAAGGGTGGGCAAAAGCTGGTTAAGTAGGAAAGAGAAAAAAAATTGAAACAGGAGCAGGCATGCAATAAGGCAAAGATCTGTAATCCCTGAAAGCTCCTGGACCTCATATGATAAGTCTCTCATGACTTCTCACTAGACCTTTGACCTAAGCTTGTTTTTCTTAAGTTTCAGCTTTCTCCTCAATATGTAGTGGATATTAAAAAAAACCCCTACCAGTAGCATACTCTTCACCTCACCTTTTAATGGCAGGGGCAAAACAATGATGGCACCACTACTGCTTCCAGGTCTACCACCGATACCATTGGTACAAGACTGATTTAGAGGTGTTATAATCCAAATAACAGGTTTTGGGGTTTTTCTTTGTTATTTCTTTCTTTATTTTAACTTAGAGTTCAAAATCAGCAGATTGGATAATCAAGCATTCAAAACCTAGGCAAAACTAGAATGAAAGATGGCTCAGGAACCTTAATTCCCTTCCAATCTGGGCGGGCATGTAATTAAGAAATATGTCTCACATAGTATTTTTTTTTCACTTTATCAGTTGGAATTTTTTATTTATGTTGACACTTGTAAAAAATTAATAAGTTAATGCTCAGTACAGGAGAAGAGTTTGGGAAATACTAGGGAAACTAAAAGATATAAGATTAACTGTTTGCTCAATAACAAAAAGTCAATCAATGTAAAACTTGGTTCCCAGCTTTTCACATTGTGCTCAGAGCTTGCTACTCTTCCATTGCATTTGAGAACTGTTCTTTGAACTTCAGTTCAGTGTTTCACTATGCATATTTCAGTTTGCTGTCTCTTGTACCAGTCTCTGCCTTCTGATCTCATAAAAGATCAGACAGCTTCCTCGTATCTCTCTATTTTTCTCCTTTATAGAACAGGTGCATAATGGTTTTCTAAAGTGCTGTAAGATCTGAAGTAGGATTTCATTGGTTACAAAAATGATTAAATTTTTTTGTACTCTGTCATGAATAGCTTTTTTTAATCTTCAATAGTTAGCAATCAATTTTAAGAAAAATATGAAAACTTGTTAAATCCCTCTAATGTTGAAATCCTTTAAATTAATTCACACTTTCTGTGCATATAAAATACAAAATGTGTACCATGTGGTATTATTTTTATGTATGTAAGACGACTGAGTGAGTTACATGCAAGATGGATGGACTAGTGGTCAGCCCACTGCAGTTATTTAAAGTGTTTCCACCCAAGCCATTGGGAGTTCAGAGATCACAAACATTGATCAATAATGTACTTCTAAAAAGCATCCACGTGTCTGTACAAATTTGCTTTTAGTCTTTTTTTAATTAGTCCATCACCAACACTAATTTTATGCCATTAACACATAAAAGGCCTCAGACTGCATTCCTCACTCCATTAATTGATCAACTGCAGAATCTATTTCAAGAAATGATACAATCCACAGTATTTAAATTAAAACTAACACATAAAGCAACGATGATGAAACAGAACTGATCTATTTTCATCCTTATAACTGGATCAGCAAGTGAGCCCCAGGCAGCTAACAAAAATCACCAAAGCACCACCAAAGTCAAAATGACACTAACAAACAGAGGTTTTACCTAGCTACCCGAAGACAGGATTCTAGTATTGTTTTATCTGACTTTTCAAGTTATAATAATATAACATGGGTAAATTTACAACCACAGCAACCTAAGCATTTTACCCATTCATTTGTAACTACTCTTCCAGCCCATACTTGCCCTGTAAACAATTACTGTTCAAACATCATGACTTTGTGGTATTGTGCTTGTCCAAAATATGAAATAAGCAAGCAAAAGTTGCTCAAGAAAATTGGATCAAACGAAAACCCACTGTAACACAATGCTATCCCTGTCTTAAAAAGCTTCATCCATTCTGTGAGTTTTCAATCAAATTAGATATTTTTAGCAAGCACACTGTGGTTGCGGGCAGTGCACTGAGTTTATGAACTAAATTCTTACACAATAAAATTGGTCAGAGTGCATTAAATAATTTTCAAAAAAAGTACTTACTGAAGATTGTGATTTGGGCTGTTTGTTGGACCTGTAAACATAAAACAAACAAACATTGCTGGCAAGTTTGTCTCAAGGACAGAAGCATAAAAAAAGTCAATAGCAATCTAAAGCAAACTGTCTCTTTAAGGAAGGTTTGTCTCAAGATTCAAACAAAACCCTCTGTGTTCCTGCACATAATTATATATTGCTATTTTCAAAACCACAAATAAAAATCACATGAATTTTCTGTCTGCTCAGGCAGCAACTTGAGTGGACTTAATTTTTGAAAGAAAACATCTCCTGCCATAAAAACACAGGCTGTTAAACAGACAATGTGTTATCTTGACACATCACTTACCTCTTAATAAGCCCCACCTGAGCCTTATTATCAGAGTTTATGGTATGACAAGGGCATGCTCTTAACCTTTGTCACAGCAGGAACAAGGTCCAATACCCAGCACTTAATGAATCACTACAAACTGAACTGTGGAGTTAGCTACTTTCATTACAAAATTAGAAGAAATTTTAGGAAAATGTCTCTAGAATTTTTTTCCCCATTGTTTCAGATGCAAACTAAATAAAAGCTTGCTTTACAGGCTGGATGATTAAGTCTCCAAAATGCAATATAAGTACTTCTTGAAAGGTGTGGTGTACCTTCAGCTGTCAAAGGGCAGAATTTGACGCCAGGCTTCATGCAGCAGTACAGACGTGATATTTCACAAGGATGGTCCCAGCGTTAGGAACATCACGTACAAAACTGCTTCTCATTCTTCTTCTCAGGTTTTTTTACAGACTGAGTTCAGCAGTAGAGTGAAAGAAAACTCAAGGCAATGAATGTTACCTTTTTGTACTTTATACTGGCACTTCTTTAAAATTTTTTCTTCACTACATATTTACAGACCTTTCCATCTGTATTTACTTTCTTTTATTACCGGTAAATGGGTATCAAGTTCAACTGAGAAGTTCTGCGCTGGGGGAGTGGCCCCAGGCAATGACTTTATTTATTTCCTTTCGTTTTGAGAATTCTTCTTAAAACATCAAATCATTTCTCATTATGCTATTGTGAAAACTAATACCTAGTCTATAAAGCAGTCTGAGTAATTATAAAAGCCAGGAACTCACCAAGCCTTACAAACAACACTCCTGTTGCAGTTATTGTCTTCATCCCATTCGAAGCCACACACTGGTAGTATCCCGTGTCTGTAGTATCCAGATCCTGGATTCTCAGACGCGAACCATAATCTGTTTTTCTGATGATGATCCGTCTTGGCTCCTGAACCACTGGAGCATCGTTTTTTAGCCATCTGACATTTGGAGATGGATTTCCTGCTACCTTGCAGTGGAGGATTGCTGTTTGCCCCTGGACTACAGTGATATTGTTTACTGGTTCCAAAAAGGTCAGGAAGTAACCTAAGAGGGTAAAAGGTCAGAAAAGATCAAACTTCACTTGGGCTGCGATAAAAGACTGCCCAAAGGCACATTTTTAAGAGAGGATCTTGGAAAAGGTTTCAGTTTTCTTTCAAGCATATACTCCAAAAAATGCAATTCACTGTCCTAGGACACCATAGCACCACACTCCAATGCGTCTTTCATGATTGGCTTCATGTTTGTCTGCAGGTAGGTACACAGGTTAGAAGGTCAAGCATGAATTAATACCATTACAATAATAATTCCCTATGTGGACACCTATTCTGAAGCAATAGTGACTTCTTCTGGTTAGTTTCTACATCTCTTGGAAAACAGTGCTATAAAATAAAAATACACCTTTATTCCATAAAAGAGTAATCCCAGTTGCAACCATATTAGAACATCATTATAATTTTACCACTTAATCTTCTTACGTGGTCATATATTTGTCTTAAAAATAACTAAAAGTGGAAAATTTATCTTTAGATATTAGTTTGACTTGCCAGATACTCGTCTGACAACAAAATCTTAAGATGAGACTGATTTGGATAGGTTTATGTTACAATTTAATTTTAAAGATGATACATCTCACATTCAATTTTAAAAAAAGGATGTCTCAATTGCAGAAGTAACCTGTGGTACCGGGGGCACTTTTAAATTGATTATAGGCTGCGATTTTATACGTCAAGTCCTAAAATAGTGCTAAATTGGACAAAGAAAGGTCTGTATGGATATTGAGTAATCAGGTTTCATGAGTTTACTTTTATAAATGGAAACTAAAAGCACTAATTTGTGGTTTGTTGAAAGCAAAGGACTTCTCAAGAAACACACATGCTGTACTGGTGATCTCAAGTGATAAAAAAAAGAAATAATTAATGGAAGAACACTGTAAAAACTTGACAATCAAAACTTCTGTAGGTTATTGCTTTTAAATTTAATTTGATGTTAGGAGTCCTGCAACTGACACACATCACATGCTTAAAGCTTTGAAGTGTGTAGTTCCACTGAAATAATAATGTGATTGTCAAAACAAGTAAGAAAAGTATCTAGCAGTCATTCTCATATGGTTGTTTTGATGAATTTATACCATTTAGACATAGAACAACAGGAATACTTCATATTACATTACATTTTTATGTCAGCTGCATCCAAATATTGAATACCTTTGATGGATGTCCACATGGGCCATTTCCTATAAGTTAAACTATTTTGCAGTTGTTTAATTAGGAAATAGCATATTACTGTGCAGGAATCTAACACCAGTAATGCAATGGTCAACATTCACAGTCTAATTGCCAAAATACCTTAAGAAAATTGATGCTCTGCTTTGATTTATGTTTGACATGATCATGAAAATCACTTTCTCTGTAATGGCTAGGTATAGCACTGGAGATGGGAGCAGTGAAAACATCAGAATATAATGAATTTTCAAAGACAGATTTTGCTTAAAAACTGGGTTTTCCCAAGTATTACATTATATGAAAATACAATGTAGGGAGGCAGAGTATACAGTCAGGAAGAGAAGAATTAAGTCTGCATTTATTTGAACTATGGTCAAAAAAGAGTTGTCATACTCAATAATACCGGTTGAGTCAGAAGAATCAATTTATGAAAAGAAGTGAAAAATGGAAAAGCTGAAAAATTCTTGTAATTCTAGCAAATCAGCTGAGGCATTGAGGAAGTGCAAGGACATCCTGTCATGGTAATGGTGTTGAGCTGGTGGAAGAGGAGTGGAGCCACAATGTGGGGCCATGAAAGTGCCAACTCAAGGAATAGTTCTGGCAAGGTACAGATTGAATATGTGGTCTGCAAGACAGATACAAGATTGGCTCAGAGGCCACACTCAGAAGGTGGTGATCAATGGTTTTTACTCAGGCTGGCAGCCTGTCACAAGTGGGGTCCTCTAGGGATCGATACCAGGCCCCACGCTGTTGAACATCTTTATAAATGTCTTGGAAGATAAGATTGAAAGCACCCTCACCAAGTTCGCTGATCAGACTAAACTGGGTGGTGATGTGGGCAGAAGGGAGAGCCATCTTAGAGAGAGCTGGACAAGGCTGAAAGAGGGCACAAGCAAGAACTGTATGGAGTTTACCATGGACATGTCCAAGGTCCCACACCTGGGTCAAAATAACCAAAGAGCCCAGTACAGGCTAGGATCTGTGTGGCTGAGGAACAGCCTTGCTGAAAGGGAGCTGGGGGGCCTGGGGGACAAAAAGCTCAACATGAGTCAGTAGAGCGCTGCTGCGGCAATGAAGGCAAATCAGATCCTGGGCTGCGTCCACAGGGGCATTACTAGCAGAGATAATGACATGATCATCCCAATTTACTCAGTGCTTGTCAGGCCACACTTGGGAGTATTGTGTCCAGTTCTGGTCCCCAAAATTAAAAAATGACACAGAACGACTGGATAGTGTCCAAAGGAGGGCCACAGAGATTTCTTCAAAAGGCTGGAGAACCTGCCTTATGAGGAAAGACTTGAAGGAGTTAGGTCTCTTCTCCCTGGAGAAGAGAAGGCTGAGGGGGTGAACTCATCACAGTTTTCCAGTACTTAAAAGGCATCCACAAAGAGGAGAGAGGCTCTCTCTTCACAAGGAGTCACATGGAGAAGACAAGGGGTGAAAGTTGCATCAGGAGAGGTTTCATCTCACAGAAGAAAGACATTTTCTGCAGCATGAACAATCATTCATGGAAAATGACCTCCCCAGAGATGTGGTGGAGTCCTCATCACTGGCAGTTTTCAAGATGCAATTGGACAGGGTGCTAGATGATCTTACCTAGGCTCCCTTTTCCAAAAAAGGTTGGACAAGATGATCTTTTGAGGTCCCTCCCAAAAGAGAGAGGTCCCTCCCAAAACAGAACCTGCTGTGGTTCTATGGGTCTATGATTCAGCAATTGTGGGGGCAGCCTGAATGTGCTTACACAAGGGAGGCAAAGGATACGGTTGAAGGTCTTTTTCAAGAAGTTGGGCCACTTGCAGCATGGAGCCAGCACAGAGGTATAATCATCTGGCTCAGAGATGCTCCTGATTCCTAAGAAGTGAAAGAGGCGGAGAAGATGCTTTCTATAAATGTGGGGCCAATTCAAGCACTCTAAGTTCACAGCCAGGGAGTGTGGTTCTTCTACCTCTTTGATAAACTTTTTGTTCTTAACACAGAAGTATATGAAAGGTCTACATTGGTTTTGTCCCATTGTTCAGCTTTTGTGCCATTGGTCAGCTTATAGCTTGCTCAAACACTTACCACTATTTCACTTTTCCTGATTTAAAATGAGCTGTGTTGAGTCTTCACTTTGGGTTAGTCACGGATATTACATTGAAATAAATTTGCATGAAAACAGATACTAAATTTACTTATTAGGACCAACAAATGTTATTAACTCAAGATTAAATCCATGTTAGAGCTTTCTGTTTTACCAATTAAACCATAGTTACTGTAGGAAGTAATTTGGTCCATAGCTTTTAAGCAATCCAAAATACTTCATGTGAATTTATGAATCAGATCCTATTAATAACTAGAACAAAACTATTACCACCAAAAGCAATGCCAAAGATTTATGGATTAATTCAGACCCCGTGTGATTAGATACACTTCCCCTGAAGTCAGTGTAACTGAATCCATTTCCTGCAGGTCAGAATTTGGCTTTACTTCATTATTTCTCCTGCCAGGTTTACAGGCATGTTCTGCAGTGTTTTATATTACCCTGTTATTACAAATCAAGTAATAAATATTTTAACATACTGAACTTTGAAGCACTTGTGTTTTCTTCAAAGTTCTGCATAGCAGTTTAGAAGAAGTAGAGCAACTCACTGCCTATCCACTGTCTCTGTCCGTACCCTGAAGTGCACACTCTCTATTTGCTAGTTTCATTTCCTCTTTGAGAAACGATGATGAAGTCTGGTGTTTATGTACTTACTGAATCTGAAGTAATAGTGCGACAGAGCAGGCAGCCATTTGTTGGGCTGCTCTGTTATTTGGTGTCTACTTTAGATAACCCATAATTGCAAATCTTTCAAAGTGGAAAATTTAACCAACCATATTCTTAAGAATGTTTTTCTTATTTAATTTCTGTGGTGATAATCAGCAGTACGTCACACCGCAAACACTGTGTGGATGCCAGTTTGATGCAATGGTTTGGGGAAAAAACAAACTGTTTCCCACGATAAACTGGGACCTCAACAATGTACAAAGCAATATTTTTTCCAATGTAGTTCTCTTTCTCTCTTAATAAATATTCATTTGGACAGGTATGGAGGAAAATGAAATGTGAAGGCACTAGAACTTGTGTTTAGCTTGTGTAGTATATTTTGTGTTATGCATCAGTCATCTAGAATTTTTTAAAACTTGAACAGAATAAATACTCCCTATAAAATATTTTGGGCTTGCTATGCATAAACAGCATTACTAAACTTGTAAATGTCATATTATAAACAATTATATTTCATTTGGTACAGGGACACCAAATAGAATTTTTCAAAAATCTGAGTATAATGGCCAGCGATTTTCTGTGTTATACAAATACTATTGTTATACTAATACTATTGTTATATTTTCTATGCTCTGGCTTGGTTCCAAGGGTTGTTGAAATGAAGGAAAACGTTTCCTTTGCCTTCAGTGGTCTTTGGCTTGGCTTAAAGTACTTCAAAGGCAAAAGCTATCTGGTGGATATTTCTGCATTTGCTGTAGGCAAAGATGCTCTAAATTAAATTTCTCTTTTATTATGGTTTCTAACATAGTGTACAACCAATACTAAGATTTATTTTGTTTGAACAGAGTAAAAACTGTTCTCTCAAGAAGCTATGAGAGGATAATGCAACTTAATCTATATATCATGTTATACTATCATACTCTATGTACCCCATGAATAAAGTAGTTTAGGGAAATGACTGACATGAATTCTGGCAAAACTCTTCCATATTTTGAAATGCCTTTGTTAGGTTGCCAGTACTTCATATTTTTAAATGGAATAAATCTGATATAAATATATCAAATAGAATCCCACAG